CCAGATCTTAGCTTGCTACATAAGCCTCGGCCCCTGCCGGCAACATCAAAGTCCTCTCTTGGTGGGTTATGTTAATAGGTAAAACCCCAGCGGCTGCGATCTTCAGACTCGGTTCCTGTCGGAGTGGAAGGAATAGCTTATTCTCGCGTTCATCATCTCCTAAAGGTAAGGAAGAAAAAGAGGGGGCAGGTTCATGGACCAAATTATATTTGAATTGACGTTTCAAAAACCTTCTCGCTTCCATCTTCAGAGTGTTGTGGTCTGGTGGTCTTGAGCTAGCCAACCAGACGCAGCTACCAAACCACTCTGACGATGGAAGCGAGAAGGTTTTCGAAACGTCACTTCAAATATAAGTCGGTCTATGAACCCGCCCCCTCTTCTTCTTCTTCCTTATCTTTGGAAGATGATGAACGCGTTAACATATCTGGACCCCGAATCTTTCGGCATTTAGTTTATTCTGTACAGAGAGAATTTAGAATAGGTAGGAGGAGGTCCACTGTCGGATGAGTGCAGTTCTGCAGCGAGAGAGCCGGGTCTGAATTGTCAGAGCCTGACAATCGTAACGCGTCCTTTGTGTGAGCCAACCTTGAAAGGTGATTGACCAGATAGTGACGGTGTCATAAACGCCGCGTGGTCCTCTAAACAAGCAGCGGGGTAGATGCGCTGAACAAACATGCTGGGCACTGCAGACGGTATTCGGGTTGCGCTCCCATAAAAAATTCTGAACATGGGGAGGGAGGCATGATGACACGCGTAGGTGCAGGTTCACGCAGCATCTGCTACCAGAGCTCGACCCCGTCAGCGGTCTTCTTGACTCCGTTATGACAAAGGGCACGGGCGGGTGAGGGAATGCGAGAGATACATCGCAAGTCTACTATCGCTTAAAACTAGTTCTTGCGCATATCACCGCGTTTGTGTTCAGCCTGCTGTGAGGCAAGCGGCGGACTGGCGTTCAGTCCTAAATCGGCTTCAATTAAAACGTCAGCTGGCACCCCCATCAAGCCGCATTATAGTTCAAGGGCGCGTCTGACAGATTATAGTGAGGAAACATGCGGTTGAATAAAGAAAAAGAAAATGCGATCTCTGGAACGGCAATTTTATTCTTCTGAGCCCTCAG